AAAGAGTTGCTAAAGACGTCAGTGCACCCTGAAGGAGAAAGCAAATTTCTGTTGTGCAGAGTTCTACCATGGGAGGGATTACAGGGGATGATTTCCCCAGTCAGACAGGAGGAGAAATAGCTGGCAGAGGAAGTCCAATGGAAAGTAAATTGGATAAAAGAGGCAGGACAAAACATTGTTAATGGAAAATGGACTGGTGCTCAGGGGAAAGAAAGAAGAATAATTTGTTTGTGGGAGGCATTTTAATTTTATAGTAACAGATGACAGTAAAATGAATTTGGAAAGAAGAAAGGAACTTCATGGAGTCACAAGACTCAGAGCATGAGGGGAAACCAGTGATTTCCACAAAGAGAACATATGGTGGAAAAGTTAAAGAAACAAGAAGAGGGATGCATCTGAGAAGAGGAAAATGAAATGGAAAAAAAGGAGAAATAATGATGTAGAATTGAATGAAAACAAAGAAAAGAAAAGAGAACAGAGATAGGATGAGACAATATGAAGAAATCATACAGAAGGGACAGGAAGAGTAGAGATGAATCTTACAGTCCTTGCTCAGGCAGAGCTTCTTTTTAAATGTCCTTTCTTTGGAAACAACCATAATTCTTTTCTCTTTAGAAGAACTAGCACTTGTTGCTGGTGAGGAATGAAGGGGTGAGGATGAGATAAAAGGGAGAAGTTGTAAAGAATACAACAATCCAGGGGAAAAAAAAGGACAGGAACTAAAAAAAAAATAAAGGTAAATAAAAAAAAAGGCAAGGAAATGAACCTTTACTAAAATTAGGAAACACGTTAAAGAAAAAATGTAAAATCATAAAGAAAATATGACTAGAATGTGAAGTAAAAGGAATAAGAACACGGAACATGGAACACTAAAGTTATTAAAGCCCAATTCTGACCCCTTTCTCATAGTACTTTAGTAATTTCACTGATGTGAGGTGGTCTCTTGTAAAGAGAGTTACTCTCTTTACAGTAAGTGTGCAGAACCTTGCCCCAAATAATTATTTATTTACTGAAGTTATGGTTCTCTAAGCAATTTGATTAACAGAATAAGGTAGCTGAATATGCCTAGTTTTACATGAACTTTACTATATTTGGCAACAATTTCTGGAATATGGCAAATCTCTACTCTAGGGCCTCTGCTGGAGGACTGGACTGCAGCTTTGGAATGAATGAGGAAAAGGAAACAACAATATTTCTGCCTCAGGAGGGGTAAAGCAATCAAAGAGATGTTCAGGAGGCCACAAGTTGTTTCTTGCTGCCCTTGTGCCTATGGATTTCTTTCAGAACCACTGACCCGTTGCAGGCCTCATCCCACTAGAAGACTTTGAATGGACTTTGGCAGACACTAGATTGCACTGGTAGGCCTGTTACACAAAGCTCTGCTAGGCAGTGTGAGAGCTGAGACACTAAGAAGGCTTTGTTCAATTACGGGCCATAGGCTTGACAAAGCGGTGCTCCTGCCCTTCAGGGATCTGCACCCAGAAACTGAATGGATTCTGCAAAGGAGCAAACCAGGGATGACTTTCTATTTGTTTCCTGTGTGTGGGCACAGTTGTATGCAAATGGATTTTTAGTCACATGAAACAATTTCCAAATTCATGAAGATCAATTAAGACTGTTTGTCTAAAAGGGTGGTATTATCAAGGACAACAAAAAGCTGTAAAGGATCCTGTCTGCCTTTTTGTGTTTCATTACACAGGTGTCTTGATCTTTCTCTACTGAACTGAACATATTTTCTTCTTTCTTGTAGGCTCTTTCTACATTACTAGAAACCAGCAGGTAGCTCTCTTGTGCCCTGGAACATTGCCACTTATGTGCCAGCTCAAGCAGGCTTACGCATACAGTGTTAGCTCCAGTTTGTGGTTGGCTTGATGCTCTCAAGAATATGCTGGACAGCCATCAGGGATCATTGAGATGACTGTTTTACTTCTCACTGCATGATAACGCTATGTAAATGCCAGAAATGAGTTGATCTGCCCCTCACACTACTCAGTCTGTTGGTCTTGAATAGCTAGGGACTGGATGAAGCCTGAAACATAAATTTAGAACAATTAAAGAACTTTTTATTCATGTGTAATTTTTGTCATGGTCTTTTATAGGAGATTCCTATAAATACTCTCTCCCTTTGGAATGCTCTTAAGATCTGGGTCCCAGTGAATTAATTCCGAAGCACAATGCCTTCCTCAGTCTGATTGTATCAACAGTATTTTCTTTACTGTGAGATCCCCACTTGTTGATTTAATCGAGCTTTCTTCTGTTTTGAGCAAGGGAGAAGCACTCCAACTATCTTCTCTGTGCCATTCATTATCACAGGTAGGGTAAACTATGGCTAAGTTTGACTGGCATTTGCCATTATAAGACAAATTTCAGATGAAACACATCTGAGAATGAGGCTAATAAAACATGTTGCTCTGCCCAGGATAAAAGAACTGTAATAACATCTTTTCTTTAAGAAGGTTCAGTTTCCCTAAAACTTGAGGCATGGCCTTGATAGGTGTCAGGGATATAGCGGTTACATCAGTAATGGGCTTCTTGCCATCCCAAGTAAAAATCTGTCTCAAACAAGTCTAAGCAGGTGAGCTTCCAATGTGGCCTATCTACTCAGTAGAGATTTGCCTCACTTCTGTGTGGAGTTTTCTTTAAGATTTTTTCTGTACTGAGGATGCTTGAGCCTAAGGCTGAAGTAGATGGAGAAGAACCCTCACTCCTATGGTTGTGGCTCTGGCCTGCTTTGGGCCAGGACAGCAGTAAAGACAGAGAGACTGACTCGCCTCTCTTCTTGGTGATCATTTTCCACACTCCTCTGATGGCTTCCAGGGAGGGTAGAAGTGGCATCTACATGATGTGGATGCAGAGGGGGTAAAAATTAACCTTGAGTCTGAAGAAAAAGAAATGATGGAAAGCAAAAAAACCCTGAAGACTACTAAGGAGCTAGGATTTTGAGTTTGGAGTGGAAGGAGAGAGGGCCTGACTGTGCAGAGAGTAGTAATCACTGTGGTAGAGGAAAGGAAACAGGGAAAAAGAGGCGGCGCTTGTGATAAAACAAGGTAGAGGAATACAGAAACTACCTAACAAAAAGGCTGGTAAAAGGGACACAAATATGGTCTGGGAACAGAGACTGACTGGGAGCTGGAGGGGTACTGAAATGGGAAGGGGAGTTGAGGAATGATGGACTGCGGGGAAAGGACTGCAGGGAGAAGGCAAGAGGAAAAAAAGCGTGGAGGCAAAGGGAGCGCAGATTGTGTGGAGAATGGCATGAGGAAGTAATGGGACTGGAACAGGACAAGTGGTGGAAGGAGTCAAGCCTGAGAGGAACAAGTAGAAAGTCTATGTTCGTTAGTGTATCTCTCCCTCTTCCCCAAATTGATATTCCTGTGCCTCATACTCGTCTGCTCTCATCCAAATCCATGAGCACAGCATGTGCCTTATTCCTTTTAGAGCAGGACCAACAAGATGGTAACACAACCTATCAGCCTCTCCATCCATTCAACTGACAGAAGATCTCATATTTCCAACTATGAAAATAAGCATTATCTCACCATATGACTGACTGACATTACAATTCTGCTTTTGTAACAACCTTGAAATTTATCCAAGCAAAAAATGAAGCTAAAAGAACATCCTTACTTGGAGTTGTACAAATAAACACTCAGAAGCTACAAAATGCTGGCGTTACAGTATCCCACGACGCAGTGTAGCGTAGTCTTTGAGCCCCGGATTACCAGTTCTTTTTCCCCAGGCCCCTGCCTTGTCCAGTGCACAGGGCAAATTGTGCTTCATTATGGAGGAATGGATTGATGCATTGCCTTTTTACTTGTTCAGTGTGTGGCCCCAGACCTCTATTAAAGCTCTCCACCAAAGACATAGTTATTCATTTCCTCTTGAGCTCTTCTGTTTTTTTAAATCTTAATTTATTTTCTTGTGTTTCTACAAGATAAGGGTCTTCCCCTTCTCATTCACAGAGAAGTGGACAGATATTAAGGGAAAAAGCATTTTTCGGTACCCAGTCTAGGTCAAGTAGGAGATGATTTTTTAGACTGTGTCTTTAAATGGTTCTTTATACAGTTCCACAGTGAAAGTGCACTTAAAATTGTAACTGTGAGTACCAGGTTCTTCTGTAAATTAAAGTCCAGAGTCTCAAGCTGGATATTGAGGGAGCACTTGTGAAAAATCTGTTTTAAGTGACTTGCCTGCCGTTGCACTGGAATTACGTGGCAGATGGAAAGCTTCAGCTCCTCAGGCCTCTACTGCCTGAAGCAAGACCATCCTTCACTCTTCTACAGCTTCCTTACCTCAAATGTTACGCAAACTGGGGAACAGTTTAGTGAATCAGGTAGAGAACAAACCCTGGGACAACAGCCTGCCTGTTGCGTTAGTAATTCTGATGCATCCCTAGAACAATTCCATTGGGAATGCACTGAAAGAAGGATGAGAAAAAAATCACGATTGCGTGATTTTAATCACAATGTATATCTTTATCATAAAATACATGTTCTAAGAGGAATGGCATACAGTTGAACAAGCAACTATTTTTCTAGCATTGCCTAACTTTTGATGGATCTATCCTGTAAACTTAAAAGGGCTTCTTCCATGTTGCTTTTATTGTATAGTGCACTTATCCACACGGGGAAATTGACTGGAATAACTACTGTGGGGTAGAGTACCCCTCAGTAGTTATTCTGGAGTATTTTTTTAATAAGAATGTCCACAAGGGAGGCTATTCTGGACTAGCCATTGAAAAGTAACTTATACTGCACTAGATATTTTAGTCAATTTTCCCACATAGACAAGGGGTAACTCTATGTATTTTTAACATGAAGTCTCTTATTTGTCTTCTTCCTACAAGCTTGTCTACATGAGAAAATTTACTGACAGAGCAATAGCAGTATATTTATATCACTATAATTATATCTATATATTTTATGTACTTACAGCTACCAATGCGGTTATTTTTATTCCAGAATAAAAGTATTCACACTGGGAGTTATACCAGCATAATTTTACCACTATAGCTCTGCTAGTAATTTCCCCATGTAAACAATCTCTGAAATAATCTAACCAAGATTTTTTCACATCTTCCTTTGCATGACAGTTTCTCCAAGCCCTTCATAAGCTTGTATCAGTCATATATTTTACATTACCAATACAGTATGAGCTACAGTGGTTTTTTACTTGAAATATGTACATGGAGTATCTTTGAACAAGGTCATCCAATACACTCAGATTTTTGCAGATGTGCAAAAACTGGTAATGCTTCTTATGTATACTATTAAGATGTTTATTCTGCTAGGTAAAGACCAAAGTTAATGCTGATAAGGTAATAGCAAAAACTCTGAACTGTGTGATATGGAAGAAAGGGCTGTTCAGGAGATCAGCTGTTACAATCCTAACACTGTAACTCAGTTATTTCCTTGCAGCGTGCTTCTCTCTCCTCTCCCACGTGTTACGGTGCTTTCTTGTTTAAATTGTGCCAGCTTTTCCTGTCAAGAAATGTCTCTTGCTCTAGATTTGTGTAGTGCTAGGGTCTGTAAAACGGTTTGCTACACTAACCAAGCAAATAAACAGTAACGAACAAGCAAGCCTAACCAAAAGTAGGAGAATCTGGCTGCCCACCAAATTCTGAGCAATATAATTCATTATATTGACTGATTCAAAAACTCATTTGCAAAGAACATAAACTACATTTTAGTTAAAAGAATTGCCCTCATAAGGCAATTAATGGCTGCTACCATTTTTATGACCATTTTGAGCATCGATTACAATTTCTCAAAGTATGTTTACCTTAAGCCCCATCCATGACAGCACTTAGTAGTTCTTTACTGGTAAGAGTCACTCTACTTAGCCATATACAATCTACTATATGGAAAAAAAAAAAAGGAGGGAAAACAGATCAGGAAACTCAGCAGTGAGGAGGACAAACAGAGGGGAGAATTAAGGAGAGCCAGGGAGCAATACTTACTGCTGACTAACTGGCCAACACTCAAAGCTGAAGAGGAGGAGGATGAGGAGGAAGAAGAGGAAGCCTGACGCACTGGGCTTTGAGACATAGACGCTTGACTGTGAGCCAAATGCAGGAGATTGGGTTGTGAGGCTGCTTGTCCCACTTGCGTCTGGGAGGGCTGATGGAGCTATACGTTAAAATGTAAAAATAGGTATTTAGAAAATGAAGCAGTAATAGGAAACTTTCAGTGCACCATCTCACCCATCTACTTCTGGGAAACAAATCCCATAGGAGCATTAAACACCATGGACTTAGTTCAAGTGACAGAGTGTTACAGCAGGAGCAATCTGAGCTCCTTTGAATTCTGACTTTCCATTTTTTTCTCCATTTAATCAGATACTTAATCTAATTAGAAGCTAAATACTTGTTTGAAATGGGTGATAAGAGACCTATGACATTCCCAGCAGCATTCTGATTTAATAAATACAGGTCCTTACCTGTTTTCTGTCTCATGAAGTCAGACTTTTATTCCCTACATGGATTCTCATACAAATGAGCATTGTTTCAGAGAGGTCCTTTCGTACTGCAGGACCAGGGCCAAGAAGAGTGGAAATGGGGAACAGAAGATAAATTGGGGGAAAATCCCTTTCCTACAGAAAGGAATAATTTGTTTTATGACATTAGATCTAGCAAAGAAACCAAAATGTTTAAACCTTATTTCTCAATTGATAAATTGTCCTTGTCTAAAACACACAGGGAAACTTCTGAGCCCCATTCACATCAGGACTGTGTCAAGTAAGACATACCTAAAACATCTAGTGAGTACGGTAGGTGCAAATGATACACTGTGATACATGAATCTGGCTTTATAAATTTATTTTTACAAATTTTACAACGGTGTAGTCTTTGGTTGTTCACTAGGGGAAAGGAAAGAACCATTAATCCCTTCTGCCTATAATAAGCTTTCACATGGGGCTGAAAACTAGGAACATTCTCTGGTACTGATTTTTACATAAAACTCCCAGCAAATTCAAAGGGCAGTCTCTCTACAGAATGAAGGTACACAAGGGACCTTACAGTTTTGAATTGGCTTCTAGTAGTCCAGTACAGCCTTTTCAGAGCCTAATAATACAGTAATATAGTCCCGATATGCTCAGGTGACTGCTACTTATTATACCTTTATGTTGTTTCTTGATATTTATCAAAAAAGATTTGAAGAATGTACTAAAAGGCTTCACTTTTAAGTGATAGCTGTTATCTGCATTCTCAGAAAGAGGGAAAGATAAAGGCCTATTTGGTCTTGCTTGAAGTCAGTAATTTAAATCTATTTCCTGAATTCTAAGGAGTATGAGTTTTTCTCTTTTGATATTTAACTGAACAAATTACTTCAGAAAAGGAGCTGAATTCATTAGTAAAGCACAAATTATATATAATATGCTCCCAGAACACATAGAAATGACTGATGCTAAGTAGACAACAAATTGTATGGCATAGTAGATAAAGGTATCTGATCACATTCAAGATGACACTTTTCTGTGGAATACATATGAACAATTTTAATGACATTATTCATGTTATGCATCTGTTTAAGAATGGAAAAAATTACAACTCCTTTTTCTACCTCCCACATGGAATGATATGACACAAAATGAAGCAAGAAACTTTGAGTTACCCTTTAAAAAAAAAGTTATTTATCTGACCAGTTTTAGCCTATTTTGACTTCCCTGGGTATCAATAAACAAAAACATTTTATTATCTCGAGGAGTATTTTTGGACCAAGCACATTTTAAAAAAGAAAACTGACGCTGTATCAAAGGGATAATACTTGAGAAGCTGATTGAAAGGCTTCCAGATTTCAGACTCATGCAAGCACCAAGCATCTTTCAGAAAATTTCACTATGGGCTGGATTTTATCTATAGAAAGCTCCCAACCCAGAACGTCTACTTTTATAATACCTTCTCCTAGGGAAGCAGCCCACTAGGAGGGCTGGCCTCCTCTGAACGCTGCAGAAATGGACTGCCCGTCCATTACGCCCACATCACTCCAGACTGCAGCTTTTAGAAACAGGTGTTTGGGCTCTGGGTCTGTTGTCTGACTGGATCTTTGGCAAAACTAAAGATTTCAGCCCAGGCAAGTGAAGAAAAGTATCGTATTTAGATGAGCTAGGTGCTTTCGCGCTATCTGGAACACTCAAAGATGTTAGTGCTTATCTGCAAGGATGGAGGAGCAAATGTAGTAGCTATCTTTAAAACAAAAGATCTGCAAAATTATAGTCCAGTCAACTACACTTCAACCCGTGGAAAAGTGCTGAAGAAAATAATCAAACAATTTGTAAGCACCCGCAAGAAAACAAGGTAGCAACATGGATTGTTAGGAACAAACTGTGTCAAACCAATCTGATCTCCCTCTAAGACAGGGTAATTGGCCTTGTGGACAGGGAAAAAGCAGTAGGTGGTTTGACTTTACAAGTCTCTCGACACTCCCTCGTGTGACATTCTTTATAACCTAGGGAAACAGTTTAGATGAAATTGCTGCAGAATGAATGCAAAAGTAGTTAGAAAACAAAACTGAGAGGAGAGATATCTATCTGTGGAAACAGAAGTGTGTGTGGATGGTGCTTCACAGAACTCTGTCCTCATTCTGCACTACTTAATATTTTCCTAATGAACTGGATGATGGAGAAGAGAATATACTTATTAAATTTACAAGCCAATAACATGCTGGGAGGGACTTTTGATAGGTTGGAATACGGGATTAGGATTCAAAATGATCCTGTCAGTTTGAACATGCCACCAGCAATGCTGGGGTGCTGCACAAGTGAAGAAAAGGCAACTCCCATCCCAAGCTGCGTGAGCGGGAGCGATGTCTGCAGTGCACGTGAAGAATCTTCTCGTCTACTAAGCACTGGAAAGACCTCTGCGGGGGGGCACCGTGTCCACAGCTAGATGCCACACTTCAGAAAAAATCTGGACCAACTGGAGGAGAATAATTGAAGTGGCTGAAAGCCTGGGAGTTACCTGAGGCTTATGAAGACACCTGGAACAAACTGGTCACGTTCAATCTAAAGAAGGGAAGACTGAGTGGGATATGATGCCTGCCTCAAATACAGGCAGAGCTCATGAAAAGAGGAGAGAATGAGTGTCTCACATTTTATAGTGGAGAGAATGAGGCACAATAACCTGGAAGATTCAAATTAGATGCTGGGAAAAGCTGTCTAAGGTGGCCATGAAGCACTGGCGTGCATTGCTGGGGGAACCTGTGGAGCTCCTGTGAGAGCACTTAGGAGCAAATAAGACAAATACTGGAATAGGTACTCTGCCTGAGAACAACAGAGCGGACTGGATAATCTCTGCAACCTTGACCTTCCAGCCTTAATTTTTTATGATTACATGCTATTTCCCATCAGTATTTCTCAGGGAGAAATAACGATCATGTAAGACACAGATGGCAAATCCAACATTTTCCAGCCATACTACACATATAGTCGCTGAACAGTTCAACTGCTGAGCATGGACACAATAAATCTGAAGCTTCCAGGAAGCACCAGAATGGGAGGGCATTCTGCATTCTCCAGTTGTGCATGCAAAGCGTGCACACAGCCACAGCATGCTGGCAAGTCTAGCAAATGTTTGATTCTCTGCACATGTATTGCACAATGCATTTGCAAATGTGTTTTTGAAATAACTGGGATACCCAGAAGCTTGGCAGTTTTCTTGTCAGACATCCAGAAATCTTTGGAAAAATGTAAGAAATTCTCAAAATTTAGCTGGGCAAAAAGGGATATGCCTAGCGAAGTCTGGATGTACAATGACTTTAGGTGTAATAGCAGTATATAAGGGATATTTACAGATTGTTTGTTTCTAACTCACTGCTTGTGAGGGAAAAGGGAGCAATGGGGTCAGAGAAGCTGAAGAGTCACCTTAAGGCCTGACCAGGGACTGAGGGAGGATTCCATCTTTACCTCCCTACATAATTTCCAGCACACCCCCTGTTTTACAGACATGACGGTTAAGCTGTAAATGTCCTGCTTAAAGAACAATGATAGTTATCTATGTCATGAAATTGCATTAAAATACTCTCTCTCTTTTCATCCACTATAATTTCCACTCCAGAAATAGCCTTAAGGAGAGGCTACGATTAGATTATGAATTAGATTCTAGATGACAGAATCAATTTGAACTTGCAATAGCTGACTTTTCCCAATTTTGGACACGTACATATGATATGAATTATATTTATGACTGTTGTGCATTTTCCATCCAAAGACAGAAGGAGGCACAGAAATTACAGAAGCAGTTGCTCTAAGTGCCATTCGGTGTAGGTGGATATAGTAGACACGCCGAGAATGATGACTGTATGCAACACTGATTGGTATCTGGCAGGAATATATGTATGCACACTACAGCTAGAGAAATAAGATGAATATGAGAAGCATAAAGTGCAGCATAATACTTTATAAGAATAAACTGAAAAATGCAAAGGGCCTGATTCTTATTTCTTTTACATCAGTTTTACATGCTGCTGTCAACAGTGAAGGTAGTATTGATTGATAATTGCAGAGGCGAAGAATGAATTAGGTCTGTAAGACTAAATTTTATTCTTAAATTATGTATGTAGGATATCCCTACACCTGGGATGGTTGACTGGAGTCCTGTATTAAGGTCTTCTTATGAGATCAGGGATGTTGCTACCTGCATCCAGAAAGTTACATGATAGTGATAGAGTAACAACGTATTTTGCATAAGCCAAGGAAGGAGAAAGAACCTAAGTGGAAATAAAGGACAAACTTTTGGGAGAATATTGCCCTGTATCATAACAGAACTGCTACTGGTTTTACAGAGAGTCTGGACAAAAAGCAAGGGCAAAATACGGCCCTAATGGAAGGGAGAGGAAAGTAATGGGTTTAAATTGCAGTAAGGGAGGCTAGGGTCAGGCATCAGGAAGACCTTTCTAATGCTAAGGAGAGTGGCCTGGGTTGCCTAGGGATGTCAGGGAACCTCCATCACTGAAGGTTTTTAAGAACAGGTTAGACAAACATCTGTCAAGAATGATACAGGGACAGTTGATCCTGCCTAGGGGGAGGGGATGGACTGCCTGACCTCTTCAGGTCCTTTCCAGTCCTATTTTTCTATGATTCAGTGAAAAGGAAATCCGAGAGATGAGGAAACACAACAAATTAGAGAAGA